CTCCCTACTTCTGCATCCACTCTCTCTCACCTTTTCTCAGAATAAATAAACATTTTTTTAAAAAAGGATAAAGCCCTCAAAGAGAATGTCCATGTCATAGTATAAGCATATTTAAATTGTGGAGACACATTTCAGAAGAACTCTTTAGAAATTGTAAACCAGTATTCACTCCCATTGCTCTTTATGATGGTATATTTTCCCCACCCTCTGCTGGACACTCTCATAACTAACCTACTTTCATCTTTGCCAAGTTGAAGATACCAAGGTTTATTCCCATTTTTTATTCCACATTCTCATTTTTGTTTGTATTTACTTATTATCAAGACATTTTGTGTCTTCCTTTCCAAATTGTTCTCTAATATTTATAATTATCTTTTTCTTTTTTCTTTTCTTATTATTTGAGTGCAGCTTACACACACTCTTCCATTCCTTTCAGGTTTACAACATAGTGACTCGTCATATAATCCAATAATTGCACTCTTGAGTATGTACTCAAAGAAAATGAAAACACTAATTCTTTTTTTTTTTTTTTTAGTTTATTTATTTGAAAGACAGAAAGTACACAAGCAAAGGAAGGTCTGAGAGATTTTCCCTGTTATTTCCATCAAGGGGCTGGAGGAGGAGGTGCACAGGGACACAGAAACCTCAGCAATGGCACCGGCTCCTGAGCTCTCTTCTCCTGCAATCCCGCCTCACCCCTGAGCCTGACCCCTGTGGAGTCCAGGGCTGCTCAGAAGCTTCTTCCTCTTCCCACTGACGCCCAGGCTTCTGCTCAGACATGTCTACCTGACTTACAGTCCAGACCCCACTCAGACTTCTCAGTCAGAATCCACCTGAGAGCAGAGCAGTGGGGTGAGGGGAGGGGGTGTCCCCTTACCTTCCACCCCACGTGCGGCCACAGGACTGCCTTTCTCCTCCTCAACCAGGCCCTCCAAGACCCAGCTGCCTTTCTCCTCCTCAACCAGGCCCTCCCTAGGGTCTCCTTCATCTCCAGCACCTGGACAGAGACCCAGACACCAGGGGGCACCCTCATCCCAGATGATGTTAAAAGTGTGAGGTTTTTTTTTTTTTTTTTTTTTTTTCAGAAGCCATACTGATAGAACCTGTGTCCACCCATAGACAAATGGATAAGGAAGATGTGTGGTATGTACACATACATATAAATATGTGCTGCCACTTGTGACAACATGGATGGACAAACAGGGCAGTATGTCTGCTAAGTGAAATGAATCAGACTGAGATAGACAAGTACCATATGATTTCACTCATATGTGTAATCTAAAAAAACAAAATAAATGAGTAAAGAAACAAACAGCAAAATCAGACCTATAAATACAGAGAACAAACTGATGACTGCCAGAGGGAAGGGGTTGGGAGGATGGGCACAGTGGGTGAGGGGAGTGGGAGACACAGGCTCCAGTTATGGAAGGGAACAGGTCATAGGAATAAAAGGCACAGCACAGGGAATATCGTCAGTGAGACTATAACATCATTGTGTGGTGACAGATGGCAGCTACACTCTGGTGAGCACAGCATGGTGTAGACAGAAAGTGAAGGGCCTCTGGGTGGCTCTGTAGTTTCTCCAGTCATGATCCCAGGTCATGGAATCAAGCCCCACGGGACTGAACCGGCTTGAGATTCTCTGTCTCTCTCTCTCTCTCTCTCTCTCTCTCTCCCTCTACCTCTCTTCCCTGCTCTAGCTGCCTCTCTCTAAAAAAAAAAAAATGTATACAGAAGCTGAGTCACTGGGTTGTACACCCAAAACTAATGTAATCTTGTGTGTCAACTATATTCAAATTTAAAATATCTTTAAAAAGAAATTAATTAGGAAGAATAAACTCTAGGAGTGCCTGGGTGGGTCAGTCGGGTGGGCATCCGACTCTTGATTTCAGCTGAGGTCATGCATGATCTCATGGTTTGTGGGTGTGAGACCTCCATCAGGCTCTTCGAATGGGTGCGTCCTCTCCCATGGCTGCAACTGCAGAGAACAGTTACAATAAGGCATGGAAAGGCTAAGTTAGACCGGCAGAATCACAGACCCCTATACATGCAGATGTTCATGTGGGGTGTGGGGTCAGGGGAAAGACTGAGGTGCAAAAAAGAAAATTAATTGGACGAGAGAGGAAAGAGATCCCACAGAGAAATAAACAAAATATCCCAACATGGCATCAAGATCAGGGCATAAACTTGTCAGGCACCCATTAGGCATCAGGCACCACTGCCTGCACTTTGTTTCAAGACAAAGTCACTGAGGAATGAGGAGACTCTGAAGACTTGGAGGAACCAGTTTCATGAGATCAATACTCATGGAAGGAGGAAATATCCATCTCATCAAGCAGCTCACTACGACTGACCTCAATGTGACCCTGCACCTCATTGAGGATCTTGGCATTGTTTTCACTTGACACAAATGTAATGGCCAAGCCCTTGGGCGAACTGGCCTGCTCAGGCCTCCTGCAAGGAGACAGAGGGTAGCACTGGAAGACCCCAAAGTAGGAAGACACCCAAAAGGAGGGACGAGGATGTAATGTACGAAGACATAGGAAATCAGGGGGTGGGAGGGGACACTGGGATGCCTGTGTGGGTGTGCAGCTTACCTGATCCAGGTAAGTGTGGGATTCCTCAGGCAGGTGGCAGTTGATGGCAGTGTTTACCTGCTCAATGTCCATGCCTCGGCCAAATAGGTTGGTGGCCACAAGAATTCATCATGAAAGATCTTTAAACTATGGACACCAAGAAAGGCTTTGTCAGAATGAAAATTAGAAAAATGTTCACAGTCCTTTCTCTCAGGGGTCTCATGTCATCCCAAGGACACAAAACATCTTTCCATCTCTGACTCACCTCTCCTCCCAGGATGTCCCACAGTGGATAGCAATGGCTGGGAAGTTCTGCTCCACCAGGAGCTGGGCCAGGGCCATGTAACACTGCACAGACTTCACAAAAATCTCTGCCTGTGTGTGGAGAGTAGGGGGATGTGGGCCCACGGGTGTGTGTGTGTAGAGGAGAGAGACAATGTGCCAGAGTGGGAGATCAGGAAATACACCCTCTACACGAATCCCACTAATTCCCTCTTATGGAATTACTACATGATTACTAGTGATTATGGAATCACTACATGATTCCTTCTTTTTTTGCTCTCAGTATAACTTACCTTTCCTTTCTCTCATCTGGTTCTGATTTCCCTGAGTAGATCGGCCTCTGAGGAGATACAGAGAACAGTAACCAAATTTGGCAGACATGTTAGGAGACAGGAATGAGGTACTCCATGACAAAAGGATAAATATTGGAAGTAGGGTCTGGAAAGACCATGACCAATATTCCTCCTTATAAAACATTAAACCTAAGACCTACCCTAAATCTAGTTTTAGTGTGAATAAGTTACACAATCGATAAGCTGAGAGAATGCTTCTCCTTAGGGAGTGATACAAGAAGAAATAAACACTTAAGAACCCTAACAGGGCCAATGTATATTGGGATTTTTAAGAATTTAAAAGTCCTTCCAGATGGTTTTAAAAGTTTGTTTATTTATTTATTGGGGCACCTGGGTGGCTCAGTCAGTTAAGCGTCCGACTTCAGCTCAGGTCATGATCTCGCAGTCCGTGAGTTCGAGCCCCACATCGGGCTCTGTGCTGACAGCTCAGAGCCTGGAGCCTGTTTCAGATTCTGTGTCTCCCTCTCTCTCTGACCCTCCTCCATTCATGCTCTGTCTCTCTCTGTCTCAAAAATAAATAAACGTTAAAAAATATATATTAAAAAAATTTTTTTAAGTTTATTTATTTATAATGAGACAGAGAAGGATAGAGTGAGTATGAGCAGGGGAGAGGCAGAGACAGAGAGAATCCCAAGCAGACTCCACCCTGTCAATGCAGAGCCTGACACAGGGCTCCATCTCATAAACCATGAGATCAAGAGTCAGACACTTAACCAACTGAGCCACCCAGGCTCCCAAAAACACCAATTATTTTTAAAACATAACTATTTTAAAATATGGAATTGAAGACAGAAAAAACAGCAGCCCGCACATCAGGAACTGATCTGACAATGACAGCTGGGCCTCAGTGTGGTTAGAAGCTGGCTGATGCCACCACTGGGCCATATTATTCTCCTGTGGGACATGAGCCACTAATGCAACAATCATGCATTAGTACACATCCATTCCATATGTAGATGGGCCTATGGATTGAATGTAACACAGAAGACAGTCAATGATGCTGTTTCAAGATCCAGTTTGCAAATAACCTCAGAGGAGGTACAACTTGTGTAGTTTTAACATAATATCAAAGATGAATATCCATAATTATCTGAAAAGGTTATGATACATACTATTCTCCTATGGTCAAGGATGTAAATTTTTTTCATATACTTCAACCAAAACAACACAATAGATGCAGAGGCAAATCTTAACGTCTAGTGGTCTACTAACGAGACAGACAAGAAAGAGACTTGCAAACTGGAAAATGAAACAAAACCAGTGTTCTCACTGCCCCTTTTATTTGGGAAAATTGTTATTTTTAATAAAAACCATATTTCAGTTTTCATATGATTACAAATGAATTTCAAAATATTTAAACCTGTTTTATTCCTACTATGGTAAATATTGATAGATATACCCACAGACACAAACTTATCCCTGGGATCCTCACTAATTTGTAAGACTGTATAGATATGCTGAGAACAAACTATTGGAGAATCAATGACTCACACAGCTCATAGGCCACGACTCAGGGAGACAGCGTGACAAGGAGCCCTCTGTGCAGTAGATGAGGCCTAGGAGCAAAGCCCCAGGTCCCTGGGCCTGCCTCCCAGGGTCTCAGGCCCCAAGGCGGTGTCGCGTTCTGGGAAGCCCAGTGTTGGGGAATTCCCATCTGCCCTGGTTTCACCTCCCTGCCACAACGTGTCAGGTCTTTTTGCCTGGATACTGATGATGCGGACTCGGTTTGTACTCCTATTGGCGACGGGTTTACCAAGAAGCCAATCCAGTGCACCACGGTTCCGGGGTATAGTCTCTGCACTTGCCTCCGGTTCCAGCTGCGACTCACATTCTCACCAGACCCCGAGGATGCGGGTTGTTATGCCCCGAACGCTCCTCCTGCTGCTGTCGGGGGCCCTGGCCGTGACCCAGACCTGGGCAGGTGAGTACGGGTTCGGGAGGAAAGGGACTCTGAGGGGCAGGAGCGAAGAAACCGCCCGGCGGGGAAGCGGAACCCCCGGGGAAGCCGACTGTCCACCGCCCAGACCCAGACCTCCACCCGGGCCTCCCCTCCCCCGTCCCTCCCGGACTCCGTCCTGCTCTCCCCTACTCTGGTCCTCCTCCCCCTGCCCTCCCGGCCGACTCCCCCTGGGACCCGGGCCCCTCGCGGGGAGGAGGGTCGGGCGGGGTCTCAGCCCCTCCGCGCCCGCAGGCTCCCACTCCTTGAGGTATTTCCACACCGCGATGTCCCGGCCCGGCCTCGGGGAACCCCGCTTCATCGCCGTGGGCTACGTGGACGACACGCAGTTCGTGCGGTTCGACACCGACGCCCCAAATCCGAGGATGGAGCCGCGGGCGCCGTGGATGGAGCAGGTGGGGCCAGAGTATTGGGACCGGGAGACGCGGATCGCCAAGGTGCACGCAGAGATTGCCCGACCGAACCTGCAGACCGCCCTCCGCTACTACAACCAGAGCGAGTCCGGTGAGCGACGCGGGTCCGGGTCCAGGGCACGACCCCCATCCCCACGGACGGGCCGGGGTCGCCCCGAGTCTCGGTGTCTGAGCGCAGCCTCGAAGCCGCGAGACTCCCAAGTCCCCCGACCGGGGAAGAGCCCGCGGGAGCTTTTAGGGGATTTAGCTTTCGGTTTCACCTTAATCACTGCTGCTCTGGGGGCGGGGCGGGGACAGGGTCACACAGCATCCAGAGAATGCATGGCTGTGACATCGGGCCTGACGGACGCCTCCTCCGCGGGTACAGTCAGTTGGCCTACGACGGCGCGGATTACATCGCCCTGAACGAGGACCTGCGCTCCTGGACGGCGGCGGACACCGCGGCGCAGATCACACGCCGCAAGTGGGAGGTGGCCGGTGAGGCGGCGCGCTATAGGAAGTACCTGGAGGACACGTGCTTGGCGGGGCTCCGCAGGTACCTGGAGATGGGGAAGGAGACGCTGCTGCGTGCAGGTACAGGGGCTGAGGGGCCTCCCCGATCTCCCCTTCACCGGGGCTGGCTTCCCATAAGGAAGGGAAAATTTTGGACTCCGTTTCAGAACAGCTCTCCTCCCCGGGTGGGAAGAGGGACATCCGCCTCCTTGTTCATATTCCTGCTAGAGAGTGACTCACCTAGAGGGAGCTTTTCTCTCAAGGACAGACAGGAATCCACTCTCCCCAGCAGGGACTCAGGTTGAGACCATCCCTGAAATAACCCATCAGCAGTTCCCTTTGACCCTGGCAGCCACCTTGTGAACCATGACCTTCCCTCTCAAGGCCTTGTTCTCCATCTGAGAACATGTTTGGAGATCTGAGTCTGCGTTTGCTGAGTCATTCACCCTCCACCACAGTCAGGACCAAAGTGTGTTCCTCCCTTAGACCTGCAGCTTCCTACCGGGGTTCTTTCCCAGATTCCAGAACATAACAAGGATCAGGAGATCCCAAAGGCTAGACTGCTGTCTGGGTTTTGTGCTTCTTCCATCCAGACCAGTGGTCCTGTCCACCTCAGGATGGTCACATGGATGCAGTTTCAGTGGCCCATAAAGCTAAACCACAGTGTGGATTCTCTGATTTTTCTTCCTCAGAGTCTCCCAAAACACACGTGACCCGCCACCGGATCTCTGACCATGAGGTGACCCTGAGGTGCTGGGCCTTGGGCTTCTACCCTGCGGAGATCACCCTGACCTGGCAGCATGATGGGCAGGACCACACCCAGGACACAGAGCTTGTGGAGACAAGACCTGCGGGAGATGGGACCTTCCAGAAGTGGGCAGCTGTGGTGGTGCCTTCTGGAGAGGAGCAGAGATACACGTGCCATGTGCAGCACGAGGGGCTGCCCGAGCCCATCACCTTGAGATGGGGTAAGGAGGGTTTGGGGTCGAGCCCCTGTCAGGGAATGCAGGGCCCTTCTGGAGAATTTCACAAAGTCAGGACTGAAGCCAGATATCTGGGCCCCTCACCTTCCTTCCCTTTCCAGAGCCATCCTCTCAGCCCTCCATCCCCATCCCGGGCATCATTGCTGGTGTGGTTGTCCTTGTGGTCATTGTGGTGGTTGGAGCTGTGATCTGGAGGAAGAAGTTCTCAGGTAGGAACAGAGTGGGGGGATCTGAGTTCACTTGTCCCGCTGGGGGTTTTCCTAGGTAACACATTGTCCTGCCTGGTTCCTGGGAAGTTCCATCCACACACATGTAGCTGCCCACTCTGGAGCTGTTACTAACAATCACTCTGTAGCAAAGCACTTGTGAAAATGAAGGACAGATTTTCACTTGGTAATTCTGGTGATGGGGACCTGATTCCCAGCAGTGACAGGACAGAGAGGAAGGTCCCTGCTCAGGACAGACCTCCAGAAAGTCAGGCGGTCCTGTGCCCCCCCCACACACACCTCTTTTTTCATGTTTCCTGAGCCTGTCCTGGGTCTTCAGTCAGAATTCTGGAAACTTCATTGTGGACCAAGACTAAGAGGTTGCTCTAGGATCCCATGGCCCAGCTGTCCCAGGTTTGTAACATGATATTTTCTTCCCACAGCAGAAAAAGGACCGAGCTACTCTCATGCTGCACGTAAGTTTGGAGAGGGTGATCCTTGAAACCCTGGGATAGTGTAGACAGGACCCCAATGGGGAGCTCACTCCCCCTACCCCCCCCCCCATAGCTGCTCCTTTAGTCTCAACTCCTGTGGCTCTGATCACATCCTGTTTGTTCTACCCCAGGCAATGACAGTATTCAGGGCTCTGATTCGTCTCTAATGGCTCCTAAAGGTAAGACTCCAGAGGGCCTGAAGTGGGAAAGGGTGGGGGAACTAGGGACATGTTGACATGTGGGGGGCTGTTGAGAATGTGGCACTTACGTGACTGATCTAAATCTGTTCATGATTAATTTTTTCACAGTGTGAGACCCGCTGCCCCTCAGGGACTAATACAGGATCTGTTCACACTTGGTGCCATCGAGATCCCCTGACTTTCTGCAGATGGTGTCAGAATGTGTCTGCGTTCCTATTAGCATATTGTGAGGACACAGGAGACTGGCCCCCCCTGCCCTCCATGACCCCTCCCCATACTGATTTGTGTTCCCTTTCTGACCTGCTTTCCTGTTCCAGCCGAGGAGGGGTGGACCGTCTCCATCCCCGTCTTTTTTTCATGTTGGACTGAGTACTGATGCTTTACTTTCCTATTGAAAATGAGAATCCAGATATGAATTTATGTTTTGTAATTCTTGGTATGTGGGCATGATGAGGTAATAAAAGAGAGGATTTGTATGGTTGGAACAGAAAATAAATGAAAGCGCTGAGAACCTTCCAGAACCCGCATGTTTCCTGTGCCATGTCTGTTGCAGGTGGGGACAGGAGAGGGCTGGAGGAGCCGAGCGTGGATGGAGCCTGTGTCCAGTCGGTGCTCAGTGCATCCTTGGAGTGTCGTGCTCCCTCCTCAGCTGGGTCATGTCTCTGCTCCTTGTCCTTGCCCCTTCTGTGGAACCTTGTCTCACCAGGACCTGTGATCACAGAGACTTGGACAACACCTGTCACCAGGACCTTGTGCAGCAAGAGCTTCCTGTGACTGGGTCAGCCCAGGCTCCATCCTGGGTCATGACCTCAGCACCATCTTTTGGGTGTATTTTCTTCTTTGTTTCTGTGGAGCGTCAGGCCTGTTCTTGCCTTTGTGTCCGAATTCCTCTTATTCTTCCCGGGTGATCCTAGTGGTTACAGCACCAGGAGTCCTTTGGGCTGTCGTTCCCATAGGCCTAGGTGGCCCCTGTACACAGGAGTCTCTGTGGTTTGGAGAGATGAATTATCAGATTCATCCATCTCCTCCCTCTAGAGCTGTCTTCTGGATTATTCTTTACATCCTGAGGTAGACAGAGAGGAATCTGAGAGTTTCTCATCCTTTTTCAACTTCAGTTAGTTTCTACCTTCTCTGCCTCTCTGCCCCCTCTCCCTGCGCTTAGTTCTAGTGATGCTGGTGCTGGCTCCCATCCAAATTCATGGAGTTTTAAAGCACAGTCTCACATAGATTTCTATTTGGTTGGAGAAAAGGCCCCATAGAGCCTAAGTACAATGATTCTGAAGACAAGACTGTAACTCTGTGCTGTGCTGTGCTGTGCAGGGGAAACGCTGTGGGAGGGGAGAGCCGAGCAGAGAGAGGAAGGGGGGAGCAGCCCTGGGGGAAAAGTAGAGGCGGCACTGATGGTGAGGTGGGGGCACTTTTTGTGGGAGCTGCCACGGACTGGCTGTGCTGAGGCTCATCCAGAAGACAGAGATCCTCTCCGCTGACCACTTGTTCCACTGATAATGTCGTGTGCCACATGCAGGACCCGCTATTTTTTCATTTAAGACACCTCCGTAACTAAGAAGAGGCAAACGTGCTGGTCTTGTGGAGAATATGTCCTAGGGGTGAGGGGCAGACTCTACTTGACCCTGAAACAATGTGTGGATTGAGGACAATGACCCCATTGTGCAGTCAGAAATCCAAGTATAACTTTTGACTCCCCTGAAACCTAAGTACTGCTATTGATAGGAAGTCTTCTTGAAAACACAAACAGTTGTGTAACGTATAGTTTGTATGTTACATGCAGTATGTACTGTATTCTTACAATAAATTAAGCTGGAGAAAATGGTAAGAAAACATAAGAAAAAGTGCAGCAAGTCCACGTAAGTGTAAAAGTAAGTGTTAAAAAGTCCACATATCGGAGGACATGAGCAGTTCAAACTGGTGTAATTCAGAGCCAACTGTATACTGTATTAATGTGGTAAAAAAGGGAAGGGTTTACATTGGAGGTTAGCAAAAAGGTGAAAAATCTATAGATTAAAAACTATAGAAAGCTGACAAAGAAATTGAAGAAGACACAAAAATGTAAAACTATTCCATGCTCCTGGATTCAAAGAACAAATATTGTTAAAATGTTGATACTACCCAAAGCAATCTACATATTCAATACAATCCCTATCAAAATAACACCAGCATTCTTCACAGAGCTAGAACCTACAATCGTAAAATTTATATGGAACCAGAAAAGACCCCAAATAGCCAAAGTAATCTTGAAAAAGAAAACCAAAACTGGAGGTATCACAATCCCGGACTTCAAGATGTATTTCAGAATTGTAATCATCAAGACAGTATGGTACTGGCACAAAAACAGACACTCAGATCAATGGAACAGACTAGAGAACCCAGAAATGGACCCAAAAACATACAGTCAACTAATCTTTGACAAAACAGGAAAGAATATCCAATGGAATAAAGACAGTCTCTTCAGCAAATGGTGCTGAGAAAACTGGACAGCGACATGCAGAAAAATGAACTTGGACCACTTTCTTACACCATACACAAAAATAATCTCAAAATGGATGAAAGACCTAAATGAAAGACAGGAAGCCATCAAAATCCTAGAGGAAAAAACAAGCAAAAACCCCTTTGACCTCAGCCACAGAAACTTCTTAACATGTCTCTGGAAGAAAGGGAAACAAAAGCAAAAATGAACTACTGGGACCTCATCAAAATAAAAAGCTTATGCACAGTGAAGGAAACAATCAGAAAAACTAAAAGGCAACCAACAGAATGGGAGAAGATATCTGCAAATGACATATCAGATAAAGTGTTAGTATCCAAAATCTATAAAGAACTTATCAAACTCAACACCCAAAAGCAAATAATCCAGTGAAGAAATGAGCAAAAGACATAAATAAACACTTCTCCAAAGAAGACATCCAGATGGCCAACTGACACATGAAAAAATGCTCAACATCACTCATCATCAAGGAAATACAAATCAAAACCACAATGAAATACCACCTCACACCTGTCAGAAACATTAACAACTCAGGCAACAGATGTTGGCGAGGATGCAGAGAAAGAGGGTCTCTTTTGCACTGCTGGTGGGAATGCAAACTGGTGCAGTCACTCTGGAAAACAGTATGGAGGTTCCTCAAAAACTAAAAATGGAACTACCCTATGACCCAGCAATTGCACTACTAGGTATTTTTATCCAAGGGATACAGGTGTGCTGTTTCAAAGGGGCACATGCACCCCAATGTTTATAGCAGCACTATCAACAATAGCCAAGGTATGGAAAGAGCCCAAATGTCCATCGATGGATGAACGGATAAAGAAGATGTGGTATATATATGTGTGTGTGTGTGTGTGTATATATATATATATATATATATATATACATACACACACAATGGAGTATTACTCGGCAACCAAAAAGAATGAAATCTTGCCATCTGCAACTATGTCGAGGGAACTGGAGGGTGTTATGCTAAGTGAAATTAGTCAGTCAGAGAAAGACAAATATCATGACTTAACTGATATGAGGAATTTAAGGTAGAAAACAGGTGAACATAAAGGAAAGGAAGCAAAAAATAATATAAAAACAGGGAGAGGGACAAAACATAAGAGTCTCTTAAATGTAGAGAACAGAGGGTTGCTAGATGGTTTGTGAAGGGGGGATGGGCTAAATGGGTAAAGGACATTAAGGAATCTACTTCTGAAATCACCGTTGTACTATATGCTACCTAACCTGGATGTAAATTAAAAATTAATTAATTAATTAAAAATAAACTATACACACACACACACACACACACACACACACACAAATTGGAGGCTGGTTGGTGCTTTGAGGAAGGTGACCCAGAGAGTTACCTGTGCTGGGATGGGGAAGGTGGCCAATTTACTATCAGAGTAAATCCTCACTGGGTAAAGCCTATCAGAGGGAGCCTCACTGGGAAAGTGACCTCAGGAGAGATGTGCAGGACACAAGGAATTGTTGAAGAGCATGTTTCAAGGAGTTCTTTCCACGCAGGGGGACCTCCAGTGCACATGCACTAGGTCAGGAGTGTGTCCTGTGTTCAAGGAAGAGTGAGAGGCCGCTGTGGCTGGAGCAGAGAGCATGTGAAATGTGGTCAGATGTTTATGCCTGAGGATTAGAAGGGTTCGGTTTTCTGAGTGAGATGTGAGTCACCAGATGGTTTAGAACAGATGATCCGCTGGGTACTACTTCTCTTTAGCAGCATCTGTTTGCTGCTGTGCAGAATTGAGAGGTGAAGGGCAAGTGACCAGTAGGACAACTGTGGGAAGCTAGCGCAGTGTTCCAGGAGGGGGATGACAGTTTTACATCTGAGGTATGAGGAGGGAAAATAATAGTGACTGCATTCTACTTAGTGTGTGTGTGTGTGTGTGTGTGTGTGTGTGTGTGTGTGTGTATTCTGGATACACTTAAAGATGGACTTTACAGCATTTCCTAATGTATTAATTCTAGGTTGGGAGAAGGAGGAATCAAGGACGGCATCCAATGCTTCAGACTGCAGGTAGAAATGAGGAGTGCCTTATATGGAAACAGGGAGGACTCTGGAAGTAGGACATTTAGGGAAGCTGCATCATAGGCATCCAATTTAGAAATGTCAAATCTGAGATTATTAGAAATGCACTTGAAGTTAGAAGCTGGATACAGAGTACAGGGTGGGAGAAATATCTAGGTTGGAGGGATACATGTAGGAGGTGACACCACATAAATGATGTTTAAAGCCTTCAGCATAGATGAGAGCACCAAGGGGGCGATGGCCATAGAAGAGAAAGGAACAGGACCAAATCCTGGACTCCTCAGTGCTAAGCAAGCTGATCAGAGCACACCCAGAGCATACTGCACGTTATGGTTCTGCGTCATGTAGATCAGGAGGCCCAGACTTTAGTGTGCATAGGAATTTCCTGGTCTTAGAAACATCTAGACAGTCTGGACTAAAGCGTGAGGTTCTGGGTTTATAACAAGGTTGTTGCTGCTATTGCTGGTCTTCAGATCATACATTGAGCAGCAAGCACATAAAGCAGGATTCTCACATGGCTGTGCATCAGCCTTTCCTGTGGGGCTTATTAAGTAAGTGATTCCTGAGCCCAAGCCCAACACTCTAAGATGGCAGGTCTGGGGAGAGGCCTGAGTATTTTGTAACAAACCCACAAGTAATCCTGGGCTTCCACCAGATAGGTAAACAGTAAAGTCATTGATGAGAGCCCTCATTGTGGGAAGGGGTCTTACATCCACATTTCAATGTTGTTGTTTTTTCTGGGAAGAAAAATGCAAGATCTGCTGGGAGATACATATTTTCTCTCCCAAGGGGCACAGCCAGGTGGCAGATTGAGGAAGTGGTTCAACATAAAACCTCTGAGATACTGAGTGTAGATCTTAAATGTACCACACAAAAGGAAATGTAACACCATGCAGCTCTTAGTTAATATTATGGTTGTAATCATTTTGCAGTATAGAAATGTATCAATCAAGGGTTGTACCCTTGAGCTTACACAATGGTGT